TATAAGAACAGCAACTTTTAAGAGAGCGTTAACGAGCCCATTTCTCCTTGCACGCATTTAATAAGTGTTCCCTCTCAGGAAAGGGTACAATGTTGTGCATTTTTTTTAAAGTGGAGAGGACAGGTCTGGGAAAATCCTCCACAATACCTTTAAATACGGAAGGTTAAAGAGGACAAAATTAAATACATAAATGCATTTAAATGTATTATGAAATAAATACATAAAAGTACAGAAATTTTACAATTATTAATTAAATGTATCAATATATACCATTACTTTATGTCAAATGACAAAATTTAAAACCAAATGTATAATTGAGTTATTCAATACATCATGAGACAATTAAATTTGAGGGGGGGTGGCAGCCTAGTGGTTAGGGCATAGAGCTTGGAATCCAGATGTTCTGAGTTCGAGCCCCACTCCCACAGAGTGCCACTCCGGGTCTCTGAGCAAAGACCCTTAACCTCAAACTGTCCGCGGGCGCCGCACAATGGCAGCCCACTCCTCCCCAAAGAGGTTAAATTCAGAGGTAAATTTCTCCAATGTGAGATTAATAAAGTTAAAACAAAGTTAGATTAAATTAGGAAATGTAGATATAAATAATTGAGCGTGCTATTAAATAAATAATATACCTTTTAAATTATGACATGAAATAATCTAACATCATTTAAAAAACAAACTTATTAACATGTTATTTCATTTTGTATTACTTTATCTACTTCATGGCAGCTGCAGATCATTAAATTAACTACTTTACCCATCAGATTCAGGACTGCTTCCATAGAAACCCTGAGGTCTGATTGGCTGCTTCTTACTAGCTGTGTCTGAACGTCCGCGCTAATCCATACATAGAGCACTATATAGTGTTGAATCTGAAAACTTTTAGTGGTGGGAAAAAATAGTGGACACAAAATATCCCACAATGCTCCTTGAAAAGGTACCTACCATCTATGGTCACTGGACGAACAGATATATCCCAGAATGCTTTGCTAGAGCTCTGCTTGCAAAGCATCTTGGTCATTCATTTTGGGGGCAAGAGACAACAGTGACGGTGCAGACTCCGTACAGGGGGCTGGAGTCATGTGACCAACGGGGAGTGAAAAGTAGTGATCATTTTTCTAAAAAGTCAATTAAGTCAGGATCACGTTAGTCAGGGGGTTCCTGACCCCCACTTTGAGAACAATTGGTGTAGAAGGGAAATCACATTAAAATCACAATACTGAAAAACGTAATAAATAATAATTGCAATGGAGGTCATGGTCCGGCTGTAGCTTTGGGTCAGTTTTGGTCAGTGTGGGTCAGAGTCCTACCTTTGGCCTGGTGTCCACCACGTAGATGAAGTCACTTCCTGGGTTGGACTTCATCACCGCCTGCAGCATCATCTCATCCTCCTGACAGCGGCCGCTGAAGCCCGAGAGCGGCTGACTGCAACGACACACCGCCGCCTGTAGAGGCAGTATAACACATCAGAGACCCGTAAAGCTGGGCATACACTCTCCGATTTTGTTCAATCGTTGCACGCAGCTACTGCTCGCACTGTACGACGAAATGCAGGGTTTCGTCGTACAGTG